CAAAACAGACCTGATCACAGCAGGGTGGGCCTGGGGGGTGTCCTGCCCCCCCTCGACAGATCACAGACAGAGCTTTGATTCAGACAAACTCCTTCCTATTTCGTGAGTGAGATGAAGCAGGAAGCCAGGACCGTAACAGGATGTTCCACGCTCGCTTTGTGAATTCTCAGAGAGACGAAACACAAACGGAACAGCTGATTCCACCCGCCCAGGTTTGACATTTACTATAAAGCACCCAGTCTGTTTACCATTAGGGAATGAACTCATGTTTACTGTGCAGCACAAGGTTCACAGTCATGTGACAAAAAAGACAACGGCCAATAACCGAGTTTACATCATATCTTCTGAACAATAATCCTTAATCTGACCTCAGACAGCAAACACATTAATCCCATCAGAGGATTACGACAGACAGACAGCTTCTACGCTGGCTTTACTTCACCACAGCGCTGCACGGACGACGATGCAAAGATGAATTAAACGAGCAGTTATTAGAATACCTTCAGTTTATATTTCTCTGGTTTAAAGCGAAACATTTGTTTTATTTTTTCAGTGATTTTTGGTCAACAGCAACACGGAAACGGCTGCAACGATCAACGTGAAGTTTGACAGGAATGTAGATGAGTCCGACCTACACTGAGCCACCCAACAGCTTTATGATAGACCCCAGATTTGAGGAGGGGGCTCCATCTAAAAAGGGGGTGTCTGGACATACAAAAATGCTTATAACTCAAAAACTATTCAACATAGGAGCTTCAGATTTGTTTGTTTAGCTCTGATAACGGGCTATCCATCGGGCCCACCAATGAGCCCCCACACTCTCCCAGATCACCCACCCCATCTGAAAAGGGGGTGTCTGGACATACAAAATGCTTATAACTCAAAAACTATTCAACATAGGAGCTTCAGATTTTTGTTGTTGTTTAGATCAGGGGTTCTTAACCTTTTTGACCTCAGGGCCCAATTTATTGAACATAAAGTGTCACGAGGCCCAGCCAGACATTACCAATGTATGGATCAAAATGATAATTATTCTACTCTAAATC